GGTTGGGAATCAATTCGAAAATTTTGGTGGCAAATCCTATGTGAAGCAAAAGAGTGGCCATCACTCAAGAACAACCTAAGAATTGAACCAAATCTCAAATTAAAACCTTCAATACAAATCTCGCAACACTACTTCATCCCTTTTCATTTCTTTCCTTTTTTTCCTTTTTTTTTCTTTTTCAACTTCACTTGGTTTTCATGTGTTGCAACCTTCTTCACAAACTTTTTGCATATTCTTTTCATAAACAACTTTCAAAATCTTACTTGAACCAATTTACACAACTTTCTTGCTCAAAACCAACAGTCTAACACTCGAACCTCACAAGCCAATGCTTCATTAACTACAAGGGTCGGTAGAACATAGGCCGATAGGCTTGTAATATGGCTAATTAAAAAAAGGGAAATAAGGCACAAATTGGTTAGCAAGTAGGTGGATGCAAAAATGAAAACCAAATTTGTTACAAAATACAAAGAAAAAAAAGAAAAATGAGAAGAAATACCCTCTTCCTCCTCTAGAGTTGTTCGGTCACGATCTCGGGAGCTAGATACCAACACAAAGATTAAGAAATGCATAGTTAAGGATCCAAAATGCCGCTCACATGGGATAAGAAATAAGAAAATACCAACTAGAGGGAATCCAATCCACTATAGAGAGCAACTCCATCTTACCACTTTCCCGTGAACTAGGGGTTCAAATGTCCTCAAAAGTTCTAAACCGGGCTACCATAGCTTATAATGTGTCTAACTCATCCCTAAGCATTCTAAAACCATGTAAACCCTCATCGACTAGGAATATATGCATTCAAAGGCACGTCATCGTGAAAGGCACACAAATCCAAATGAATGAGCAAATTCCAAATCAAAATAATTTCAACTTGTCATAGTCATGTTTGTCACAAAAAAGGGGAAACAAAACAAAAGAAAGAGGAAGAAATTTAAAAGGTTCACAAACGAGGCATATAATCAAATTAAAACCCAAACGTCATACAAGTGATCGGTTATAACAACATCAACGATCCCAGGTTCCTTAGAACCAAAATCAAGCAATCTCGAACCATTCAACTTCTTCCTAAGCTAATCCTAGAATAAGAACTCAAAGAAAGAGAATATAGAAGAGAGGAAAGGTCTCACGAAATGCTACTTAAAATGGAAGAAAAGATAATTCATATAATCTCACCAAGGGAGCTCATGTTGCTCCTTAACTTCCTTCGTCTACACTTTCAAGCTTCAAGAAAAGTGAGTCAAAATAAAATAAACTATGACAAAACAAGAAAAAGTTAGAAATCAAAGAAGAAGAATAAAGTTATAAATAAAAAAATCATCATAAAAACATCATCATAACATAACCATCATCATCATCATCACATCATCATCACATCACATCACCATCATCATCACAACATCATCATCATCATAACATCATCAACTACAATAAGGCCACTATCCTCAATAGTCCTCCTCAGGTACAAGCTACTACCCTACCACACTACCCTCCTATGTACAGTTCAACCAACCAAAAGAAACATCCTCCCCCACACTAGTCTTTTGCACGTCTCGAGAAAAAGTAAAAAGTTATAAATTCCGGGGGGAAGGAAGGGAACCCTCATCATGTGTTCCTATCTCCTTGCCTTTTAGGTTGAGGGGGGTTATCAAAATCAAACCTGGGAGTATCCATGAATGGGTGGAAGGGTTGGTTGAAATGCTCATAGGGCCACCCTTGGTCACCATAACCACCATCAAAAGGATTTGGGTTTGATGTGGATGCTGGATCATTAGCTAGATCACACCCACCCGAGCGATATGGGTTGTATGGTGGGGTGCTAATACATTGGGAAAGGTCGATGTTCCCTTCCCAATATGGGTAGTCATTGGGGGTGGGGTTTATGGGGTCATAGGGACCCCAATGGTTAACCGGACCCTCTTGAGGAGGGTGGTAGGGATAGTTAACATAGGGTGTTTGAATGCCCGCTTGCACAGTATTATCATAATTCATCCTTCCGTAGCACCCTTTGATCAATGGAAGCTTGTTATCACGGCGGATATCCTCGAGGGTACTACGGAGGGCATTAAAATCAAAAGGAGGAATGGAAGAAGAAGAAGATGCCTCACCTCCCCCGCTAGGGGGGGGGACGGTTTGCTTCGGGTGGTGGACCGGTAGAGGATGTGGAATTGCACCCTGGGCTCGGGTCCTTCTCAATTCATCTGGGATGTAATGCAGAGGGATTTTCCATTTTAGAGGAGTGGAGTGGTCCACCGTAGTTAAAGAGGGGTCCGGAAGGACACACCATTCTTCCTCTTTATCCACTAAGAGGATAAACTTGCGCTTGCTTGTAGTGTAGTTAATGAAGCGGTTGTGACGGAGAGCACTAATGGATAGTAGGGAGGAAACTCGTCGGTGACTTCCTCTCAGGTTTGGTGCCCAAAGGGGAGCATTTCTATTTGTTCCTTGTAGGCTCCATTCTTTAAGGAAAGGGAAATAATAGTGATCATGCCCCCCATAAAAATATCGTCACCAAGACGGTTGTTTCGAGTATCCAAAAGCCTTTGGATGAAGGTGGAGGAGCATAAGAACTTGAGGCATTGAGGGTTGTCGGCCAAAAAGAGCCAAGTTACCTTATCCTTCACCATAGAGCCGGGGTTTGCCTTGAAGAACACGAAAAATTAGAGAAGCTGAGCAAAGTATCTCATGGCTATATGGATGATGTTGTTGACCTTGGAGGTGTTAGATCGGAACCTATCCTTGGTGGATATGCTCCTCCAGCTCTCTTGCTCGTTGTAGGGGATTCGATGAGTGGAAGTTATCTCGGAGGAAAGATGTAGCCCGGTTGCATGCCAATGGAAGATCTCGTTTAGATCACTCTCGGTTAGGGAGTGATCCACATCGAACATGCGAAAGTGTGTCACAAGTTGAGGTTCCTCATCGTAATCTTCCGGCTCTAAGACTTCCTCGCAGAGAGAGGCAACGAATTCCAATGCCACTCGCTCATAGGTGTGAGCGTGGAGGTTGATGAAGTCACCCCATCCAAAATTTTTTGCTAGCCGAACTACCTCATCCAAGATACCGAGCTTCCTCAAGAATGTAAGACAAAAGAACCTTGTTGATCGAAGGGATGAGTGATGAGGGTTTTGTAGACGTCCCAAAAGTGCTTATTCAGAGCACTTATGCTATGATCATTTATCCCGGGAGGAGGTTGGAATTGTGGTGTTGAGGATTCACCCGCTCTCTTACTCTTTGACTGGTACTTACCAAGCACCATGATTCTACAAAATTACCAAAAGCTATCATTAGGGCAATTTGATAAGAGATGACATAAGAAGATAGCCACCATAAAAGTGTATGCATGAAAGTTGTTGCCTTGAGTTGTGAAATAGAAGTAGAGGATAACAACAATACAATTCAAGGCATTAATGGACACATTTGAACCAAGGCATGAGCAAGAAATCCTATGACATTCAAATGTAAGTCCTAACAAATTCTAGGTGAAATTTGGCATGATGTCCCCCAATTTCGTTATAATCATTCACCAAACCATCAAAATCAAACCAAAACAATGAGAAGCAATATCCAACAACATCCAACTGATGAATTTCTCAATCAACAAATAGTACCATGAACACCCTAGTATGAAATTAACATATTTAACCAAAGACATTGAGATCAAATAAAACCAAGGTATGCATGCCTAATCATCATATAATCATGTTCTACTATCAATTACCAATAAATTGCAACAATTAAATCCAAAGTACCACATGAATCAAACAAGCTATTACCAACAATTTCATGAATACCACAATTCATATTTAAACATGCAAAACATGGTAAAACTATGAGAAATTGAATAAATGAACTTGCAAAAGCTAGGAAAACCATACCACAATTGATTGGAAGCACGTAGAAACCCAAAAACACAAAAGCACTCAAACCCTAGACGTTGGCGAAAAATTGAAAGATGGGATTTTTGTGTGGAATTTTGGGTGGAGATTGTAGAAATTCAGTAGAGGATGGAAAAAAGTGAGAAAAAGAGAAGATTGGAGTGATTTTAATGGAGATTTGAGGTTGTAGGAGGGGATGACAATGGGGTTTAGAGTGAGGAGGAGGAGAATAGTTAGAGGGAGTGCCGAAATGAAATGAGGGAGAGCTCGGCAAAAGCAGCGTTTTTTTTATAAAAAAAAAAACTGGAAAAGGTTCGGCCGAACCTTGGGTAAGTTTGGTTGAACCATTGAAATAGTTCGGCTGAACTTCCCTAAGGTTAGGTCGAACTTGCTCCCGAAATTCAATTTTAGCAAAACTGGCAGAATGCTGCCAGTTTTTTAGTGGAAATTAGGAGTGGCCGAACTCATGGAGGTTTGGCCGGACCTCCTTCAAGGTTCGACCGAACCTCCATAGAGTTCGGTCAAACTTCTTTGAAAATTCCAAAATTTGCAGCTTGCAACAAAATTTTAGCACAAGCATAGGAGTGGCCGAACCTCTGCATGCTTCGGTCGAACTCCCCTCAAAATTGCAAAATTTAGAAAAAATAAAATTTCCCCAAAACACACTAAAACACCATACTATCATGCTCAGGCAAAGCATACCAAAAATTACAACACAATCATAAGTCAAAAATCCAACAATCCAAATTGTAGATAGAAAAAGGAATAGAAAAATAACAAAGCATCAATAAAAGAAGAGAGTAGAAAAGGGTTAGAAACTCGGGTTGCCTCCCGGAAGCGCCTTTAGTTTACGTCGTTAGCCCAACGATCCTTGAACTAATCAAGGAGGATCAAATTGATGATGCTGATAAAGAAAAGTCACAGGAATTGGTTCATCATTTGGGAATCCTTCGAAATAAGGCGTGAGCCAGTCACCGTTGACTTTGAATGGAGATTGACCGTTTTGAGAAATCTCATAGGCACGATATGGGAACACTTCTGTAATAACTTATGGCCCACTCCATATTGACTTAAGCTTGCTCGAAAAAACCTCAAGCGGGAGTTGAATAGGAGGCCTTTTTGGCCTTAGACAAATATTTTCTTAACAATTTGAGCATCGTGCCAACCCTTAGTCCTTGCGTTGTACATGCTTGCACTATCGTAGGCATTCATCCTCAACTCTTCTAACTCGTGTAGCTCTTGAAGTCTTTGCTCACCCGCACTATGGAGGTCAAAATTGATTTTCTTGATCGCCCAATGAGTTCGATGCTCCATTTCTACGGGTAAGTGGCAATTTTTCCCATATACAATCTTATAGGGAGTGTTCCCTATCGGAGTCTTGAAAGCGGTCCTATACGCCCATAGAGAGTCAATGAGTTTAGAAGACCAATCTTTCCTTGTTCTAGCAACTGTCTTCTCCAAGATCACTTTGAGCTCCCTATTGGTGATCTCCGCTTGACCACTCGTTTGAGGGTGGTAAGTGAGCCCTCGCTTATGAGACACTCCATATCTATCAAGAAGTCGAAAGAAAGTGTGGTGCTTGAAATGTTACCCCCCATTACTAATTATGGCCCTTGGAACACCAAATCTCGGGAAAATCACCTTCTTTAAAAGATTAACCACCACCTTAGAATCATTCGTTGGAGAAGCTACGACCTCCGCCCACTTAGAGACATAGTCAACGACAAACAAAATATACTTGTTCCCATGTGAAGAAATGAAAGGGCCCATGAAATCTATAGCCCACACATCAAAAACTTTAAGCTCAAGGATGGGGTTTTGCGGCATTTCATGCCTCCTAGAAAAATTCCCCATCCGTTAACATCTATCACAAGTCTTAACAAATATCCAAGCATCCTTGAATAGAGAAGGCCAAAAGAGCATAGATTGTAGAACTTTTGAGGCGATCTTTTGAGCACTCATATGCCCACCATAAGGAGAAGTGTGGCACATATGGAGAACACTTTGAACCTCGTTGTTGGGGAAGCATCTCCTCAACAAACCATAGACCCTTCTCTTCAACAAAATAGGATCATCCCAAATGTAGCTCTTGGCCACATGCTTGAGTCTTCGACGTTGTTGTGAAGTGAAATCCGGAGGTACGGCACTACAAGCCAAATAATTCACAATACCTGCATACCATGGCTCCAACTTCACCTCAAGGACATATAGCACATCATCTCTTTGAGCATCCTCTATTGTCAAACCATCATCTTGAAACTTGCACCGCCCAACCTTGAAAGGTGATCAACCACCACATTCTCGGCTCCCTTCTTGTCTCTCATCTCATAATCGAAGTCTTGGAGAACTAAAACCCATCTCAACGATCTCGGTTTAGCTTCCTTCTTTCCTATCAAATATTTGAGAGCCGAGTGGTTGGTATACACAATTATCCTAGAACCAATGAGGTAGGTTCTAAACTTCTCAAATGAGTGAATATCCGCTAAGAAATCCTCCTCGGTAGTTGTGTAGTTTCGTTGGGCATCATTGAGAGTTTTAGAAAAATAGTGTATGACATGAAGTTTCCCATCCTTTCGTTGCCTAAGAACCGATCCAATAGCCTCGTCGCTTGCATCACACATGAGTTCAAACGGAAGAGACCAATCTGGACCTTGGACAATAAGAGCGGTGCAAAGTGCTTCTTTCAACCTACAAAAAGACTCTTGACAAGCATCATCGAACACAAAATCTTTATCTTGTTGCAATAGGGATGTGAGAGGCTTAGCAATCAATGAAAAATCTTTTATAAAACTCCAATAGAACCCTACATGGCCGAGAAAGGATCTCACTTCCCTGACATTGGTGGGAGGAGGAAGTTTCTCAATGACCTCTACCTTGGCACTATCTACCTCAATGCCGACATGGGAAATTTGTGCCCAAGAAAATTTCACTTTCCACCATAAAGTGGCACTTTTCCCAATTCAAAATGAGGTTGGCTCTCTCACATCTTTCTAAGCAACGAGATAAATTGGATAGACAATCTTCATAGGTGGCTCATCCATGAAGACTTCTATCTCATCCTCAATCATATCACTAAAAATTGACATCATGCAACGTTGGAATGTTGCGGGGGCAATACAAAGCCCGAAAGGCATCCTACGATACGCATAAGTACCGTAGGGGCATGTGAAAGTCGTCTTCTCTTGATCCTTGAGGTCAATCGGGATTTGGAAAAATCCCGAGTAACCATCAAGGAAACAATAGAAGGAATGCTTTGTAAGCCTTTCCAACATTTGATCAATGAACGGTAGTGGAAAATGATCTTTGTATGTAATTGTGTTAAGTTGGCGATAGTCAACGCACATGCCACAACCGATAACAAGCCTAGTAGGCACTAGTTGATCACTATGAGCAATTGGGTAGATAGTTTTTAGGCACAACTAGCTTGTACGGGAGATACCCAATCACTATGAGCAATTGGGTAGATAATTCCCGCATCAAGAAGCTTAGTCATTTCCTTCCGCACAACCTCTTTCATGGAAGGGTTAAGCTTTCTTTGCCTTTGTCTAACGGGTTTGGCATCTCCCTCTAGATCAATTTTGTGCATGCATAAAGATGGACTTATACATTGATCAAGAGGGAGGTTTGCTCCTCCGTTTGGTTAGAATTGACAATCACGGGTAAAGACTCATCAGAAACAAGAAATGAATACCTCAAGCCCAAAGGTAGAGGTTTCAAGTCAACCTTTGGTGCTCCTTTACCATTGGGGCTCTCTTCTCTTTCTTCAACATGAAAGAGGTCATGAATGTAAGGAGCCTCTTCTTCAATGCTTGCATCCTTGCACTCCCTCTTTCTTTCCTCAAGCAAATCCTCATAGAATTGTATGTCTTCTTTGTGATTACCTATCTTGGATTCATTCAACAACACACTTTCATGAGGATTATTAGTAGCATGCAAGTGGGAGCGAGAAAATTCATTAAGCACGGTATCAAGAACATCTACACTAAAGCATTCACCACTTGAGGAGGATTGTTGCATGACACTATTCAAATCAAATTCAATGGAATCATTGTCAATTTTCAAGGATATCTTACCCTCCTCCACATCGATACTAGCTCTATAAGTAGATAGAAATGGTCTACCCAAAACTATAGGAATCCTCTCGTCCTCATCCATCTCTAGGACATAGAAATCCACGGGGAATGTGACCTTTCCTACCCTAAGGGAAATGTCCTCAACTTTGTCGATGGGAAACTTAATGGAACGGTCCGCTAAATGGAGGGTAATGTTATTGGGGGAAATTGTTCCTACACTAAGCTTTTGGTTGACGAAATAGGGCATAAGACTCACACTTGATCCTAAATCACATAAGGCTTTATCAAACTCAATGCCATTAATAGAACAAGGTAGGAGAAGTTGTCACGGCATACAAAGGTTTTGGGTTAAATCCTTGACTTGGCTTTCAAGAATTTTCATGTAAGCATTAGTTCGCTTTTTATCCTCTTCATGCATTTTCATTATATCATCTAACTTAGCCATCACGGGATCATTTGGAGGGGCTTTATGTTGAAGAGGTTGTTGATGTGGAGGAAGTTGGGGTTGAAGGAAACCTGGAGGCCTATTAGTTTGGGCATAGATAGAGACATATTGACCCCTATTGCCTCCGGTGCCTTGGTTAGGAACATTGCTTTGTTGATTGTTTCCCATGTTACCTTGATCACCAAAATTTTGATTTTAATGGTCATGGTATCGGGAATTAGGTTGTTGGTTTTGATTACCATACCCCATTTGGTTAGATTAGCCTCTTCCATTGAAATTGGAAGGGCCTCCCCCACCATGGTATTGGTTATCATAACCACCACAACCTTGGTTCCAACCACGGTTTCCACCTTGATTCCAATTCCCCATTTGATTGGAGTTTGGCCTAAAGTTCCCTACATTCCCCATTCTAGGAGAAACATTCATAACATTGACATCTTCCACATTATCATCATGTTCATGGAGAAGGGGTTGAACTTCACAAGCATAAACACAATGGGAGGTATCATGATCATAGGTTTCGCAATTAGAACAAAACATGAATCCTTGGGGCGTTGTATTATAAGAAGAGGGGGAAGAAGTGGTCATAAAATTGTCTCCCTTGGTTGAAGGGTAGTTATTGCCATGAGGATTGAACCATTCTTTCATCAATTCATCCATTTGCTTGGTCATTTTGGAGATTTGGGTAGCGAGGTTGTAGATTGCGTTGGTTTGATCCAATGCATAAACACCCCTACTAGAAGTAGCATCCCTTTCTCCTTCATACCAATTATCATAGTGCTTTGTGGCCTCTTCTATAATACACTGTTGGGGTTTGGTAAGTCCAAATTACCGCGGAAACGACCCCGACCCAAAGAACCACTCGCAATTAATAAAACCGTAAAGCATAAAAAATAAACATAAAAGGATAAAATCGAAATTAACCTTTGAAGCGTGCTTTGCCCGACCTAATGGGCTCTTACTTGAAAGCTTTGGCTCCTAAAATACTTATCCTCCAACGGTATCCACCCACAAAGGACGAACACCGACCTTTTAGGTCCGCTACCTTGGAGTTAGCAAGGTCCGATTAAAACCAGAGTGATTAAATGAGTTCAAAGGTTTTCACAATGGTGATGCCTTTTTCAACTCTTACTCAAGTGATTTTCCCAATACCCCAACTTGGGTATTTATAGGGAAAATAAGAGAGTGAAAAGGCTCTCCCATCAATGTGTGAGAATTTGATTTTTCCATTTTATTTTAAAGCTAAAATAAAATAAATAATCAAACTAGTAATAAATCAACAAGCGGCATTTATTTTTTTGACTCAACTTTCGACGCTCGGTTTTGACGCTCTAATATTGAATTTCTGACGTCTTGATATTCAATACTCAGGCAACCTATTAATTTATTCCGAATTAATTCATCGTGTCGGTTTGTATATTTGCTTGGGTGTGACCCGAAGGGTTCAGTCAAGATTAAGTTGGAATATTAATTATACATTTATATTACTGATCGGAAGCGGCCTCCACCAAGTTATTCTGAGCACTTGACCTAGCTGAATATATTAGCTTTCTAATAATTCTGAACCCGCTATTAGAATAATATACTTGTTCGAAGGACACCATTCCTTTCAATCTCCCACTTGTCCTTCCGGACAAGTGAGCATTTAGCCCCTTTCCTATGTCTCTTCATGTCTCTTCATGAAATATAAGGTAAGATTATTTCGTCATCCTTATTACGTCCAGAAGTGTTTCTCGATTCTGAGGCCGACTGTCAATAAATAGATGATTTCTAAAATCCATCCGAGCACGACCATGCATTTTTAAAGTCTCGCTCTATGAGAGGCCTTGTATACAACAAAGACATCTTCCCTATTTTAGTAGGGGGACATTCCCAGTCTTGTAATGTAGCTCCTGTTACTAAGAGGACCTAGCCGCCTGAGTGTTTCCGTTATAATCCCCTATTACGGCAGACGTTTGACAACATCAAAGCGGACTAGTACTCAAACAAGAGAACTCACAATACTCATGGTCAAGAAATAGGTTTCGATAGCTATAATGTGAAATATACTTATGACAATTTTTAGTCTCTTAAAGTATTCTCATAGGTCGATCCAGTATGGTTCTAAACCAATACTTGTGCAAATGATTTATGACAATCATGTCCTCGTAACACAAGAAACAGTGCTATAAATAAAACTACACACTAATCTCAATTGGTCAATAATCGTCCATCGTTTAAATGACCTTGATTAGGGACAATTTTTTATTATAATATTCAACCTTCACTTGATAGGTGTTTCCTTATAATGACTGAATATTCCAAGAATCGAATGGACTCATTATATAATTCTAAAC